ACCAAATTTACTTGCATGGAGCTCAAATAAATATAAAAACCAAAGGCATAACTACCAGATTGGATAGCATGAACTATTTTCAATTTGGTAAGCATGTCAAATATAGGGCTGCTTTTATTCCAACGCGTAAGGCACCACTCCCTATATCATCATTTTATGTGGAATGTAATGTCTGATAGAATGTGCGTGAGATCGATGCTGTGTTCGGCTCTATCAGTGTTGAGGCTGAAAGGATAAATTGTCTCAAGTTTAATATTGGTAAAAAATTTCATGTTCCAAATCTCAATCTGATTAAATGCTTTAATCTCTTCTTCTTAGAGGTATAGGATTATATTGGGCATTTTATCGCAGAAAAGTCTCCCTCTTTTTTTCATGAGTTATGCAGTATTTCAAGCTTCATTCCCCTGTTAAACGCCTCTAATTTATTCTATTGATGAATAAACACAAATTACGTTAGCAAGTTAATAAAAAAATAATAACTCGTCAATTTGCTGTAAAAAAGTATTTTCCTTATTTCTTTTTTACTTAATCCGTTTTATTAATTTTTAATAAGATAAAAAGTGATAAAAATTTTCAGTTCGGATCCATAGAATCTCCCCACCTAAAAATTTGTTAAAAAATAAATTCGAGTATATTCTACGGCTGTCTGTGGACCCTTCCGTTCCAAAATATGCTTACATAATTATTTGATTATCCGTATGAAAAAATTCGAAGACAATAATTTGTATTGGCGCTATAAAATTAGGCGATTGTCTTAACAAATTACAGGCGGTAACACTTTATGGTGCATCTTCTGGCTGAGAATGCCAAGCTTGGGTTAGACTTGAGAGGCATGTGACTTGTACACTTGTTTACCCTTAAATGGCGGTATTTAAGAAGTGGACTTATGAGAATTTGCCTCCCATTTAATTGAGATTCTAACAAAATCTGTCATGTCTTAAAACTTCCACCTTTAGAGTCAATTAATAATGCACAAGTGGTAGGAGAATCGGTAGCATTGATGGTGTACATACAATTATCAGAGATGGGGTTTTACCCCAGGGGAGAAAAGACAAGGATAGCAAATCCCGACCGTTTTGCTTGTCCGCCTTGTGGGTGGTCCATGGGTGCGACTGTCGATTCCGCGAACTGGGTGGAGGGAGGTCGGTTAGTCACACGACGACACGGAGTGGTCAGACTGGCCCTCTTCCTGCCAGTCTTTCTTTTTCCACAACGCCTGCGCTAGGCGCCGCGGCTGGCCAGCCGCAGCGCCGCCCATCTCCACACAGTGCCTACCTAGCGCGCTAACTATTTTACTAATATTGTACTTCCCTCTGGGATGATGCGATGTAATGCAATGCGATGCGATGCGATGCGATGCGATACAATACAATACAATGCAACACGATGCGTTGCAGCGTGATGTGATTCGACCTTGACTTTTCCATTCCGGGTTACTTCCTAACACCACATACTAACAGTGGTCTCTCTTTGTAAAGAAGATTAATGCGCATCCAGCCCATCCTGCAATACGAATGACCCGATAAACTAAAGAACTTGAGAAGCGCAAGTCTGCTGACACATACGTCTATGGCTCCACAGCGCGACTTTTAACTACTTATTGAATTATCAAAGAATTTCTAAATCTTCTACCAATTTTTTCGCCTCATTATGTGGAGAGCCGGTACTCTTCCTGTCTGTATGTATATATTTTTTATCTAGTAATCATTAGTCGCTTCAGAAAATTTAGTTTATGATTAAAGATTTTTTATTTCGTACTGCCTTCAAGAATACTCTTGACCATTTTTTAATTATTTCCAAATACATCTTAAAATATCTAATGCTGATCTCTTATTGGTTCATTTCAAGAGTCATCCCGTACACTTGATTGGTTGAAATACTCGATAATGCGGTTTATTCTATAGTTTTACAAGCATTTAAAGAATACAAATAAATGCATGAACAGCCCATTTTAAGGCCTTACTGTTAATGTTCCTTTAATACTTAATTTCTAGTTGGGATAAAATGGCGACCCTATCAGCTGTTTTTTGAAAATGAAATAAAGATTTTGCGCAGTTATTAGGCAAGTGGTGTGGTTCAGCATTGCCCGGTCAGAGAGTGTATTTAAATTGAAGTGTCTGCCTTGAGGGACATGAACATGTCTTCAACTATGTTCCTTCCTTTAGAATGTTTGCATAACCGCAATTGAGGCCCGGTTAACCAAACTGGGGTAACATTTGTCGCTCCAACACCGCATGCAACACACCGCCATTTTCGCTCTCTTTTTATTGCATTTGATTTGATTTGCTCCAATTTGAACTTTCAACTGTGGGTGGAAAATTGTTCGAAGTAAAAAAACAGCCGTCGAGAAAATTAGGAAAACAGAACAAAAAAACGGTAGACTGAGAATGCATTAAAAGGTATCAATGAAAATGAGGCTCAATTCGTCGACTTGTCAAGTACATTTACTAATTTTTTAGGGTTAGTTAAAAACTAATTGGCACAATGCGCCGTCCCAAATGCGCACACATTTGACCTACACCACTTGGATCGAACGTGGATGTTTGATGCCCAATGTTGCGCCGTGGAGAGAGGACTGGGTGGAGTGGGTGTGGGGTGGGGGCGAACCGGGGCCCTATGACAAATGGTAGCAGTTGTTACGATCACATTATAACTTTGCAATTGGGAGTTCATTTATTGTCATCCTCTGCAAGTCTTGATACAACGCAATACGATCTTATGATGCATTGATTTGCGGATAAAGTGACTTTAAATGTGGTTCAGCCTTTAATCTAATTGGTTTGATTTAATTTGATTTATTAAAAAAGATTTTACAAGTGTTTGGGAGTAGACCGACAAACTTATGATCCCTTAATTGGCATATGCTTACTAAAGTGCCGTTTCTTCTTTAGGAATATTTTGCTCAATTTTAATGTAATTCCATGCATGGTACTTAAAGGTAGTACTCTAAGTGAATACTTTCGAAGCGACCCTAACTTTTATTGGTGAGATTAAACGGCTTCTTGCTTTTTCCTTTTTTGCAGATCTTAAAAAATAACTAGCCCCTTTTTTTACGCAAATTCGCTATCCATTTCTGCGAGCCTCCCAACTCCCCATAAGCACGTAGGCGCACATCTATCAAGGCAAACAGAAGGGCTGTCAAGCCTGGCGTACAAGTAATCACATGCCCTAAAAACAGGATCAGGTTATTAGCCTGTCTCCACCTACTTTACGGGCACCCTTCAGTAATAGAGCTAAAGAGAGTTTTATCAAAGTGTCCTTCGGTGGAAGACTTTCGCGTTCTCTGATGTGACACTAAATGAAAGCCTTAGTTCATTAATGCGTAAGTCCGGTATTTGGTGAGTAAACAAGGCGCTGTTAGTAATGCAGGTGCGACTGACGTGGGGCAGGCTAGTAGTGGAGGGAGGCACTTCTGTATAACATGAAAAGGCATTACGTGTATAGAGGCACGAATTCCCATGCCCGAGAATGGGATCGCTTCAGTCGCACGTCTTGATGCGGGCAGGCAGGCCGGCTGGAAGGCTTGTTTTTAGTTAAGAGTAATCCGGGGCCTTGGTTTGGCGCACCTGCGCGCTCGGTAGGTTAGGGCTTTAAAATTCCTTATCCACATCCCCACACGCAATAGGCGCACCAATGGACTAGACTAAGGTATTAGTCACACAAACCGCAAGACCTCAAACATTCCAAGGTGGGTTTCCCTCACTCTCCCTACGTTTGCACAATTTGAAGTCCCTTCATTTTCCCTCCCCTTCCCCTTTGTCCTGACTGCGATAGTGTCGCTGCCTCCACCGTCTAGTGGTTGTCACGTTGTCGACCAGCCCACGTTGAGTGGAGCTACCACGCTTATGATTTAACTCAACCTAATCTAAAAGTGTGGAGTGGAGGACAATGCTTGTGTGAATAGATCTGTGTTTGCCATATTTTTTGTTTAAACTTGCACCATCTATGCACAGAGACCACACACACACTGTAGTTGGAGAAGAAATTTCTTCTCTACCTTCCTCCTCCATACACACGCTCAGTTCTCTATGATTGATGAGCCTGTCTACAAGTTGGAGAGGTTTTACGTAGCCCACGTCAGATCTCCCCCTTCTCCATCGTTTTCATTTTGATAAATTTCCAAATTTAACGAAAGTATGTAATGTACGAAAGTGGTTTTAAATAAAACAACTTGCAAATTCCTTTACCTTTTCCACTTTTAATACCAGGGTTGTCGAGATAGGCTACAAAAACTGGTTAGTCTTGTGCACAACACGTGGCCAAACAATGACATTGGACTACGCATATTGGACGGTTGGATCAAACCACCCGCGAGCCTTCTGCGACAGTCCAAAGTGATCACTAAGCGAGACTTTATGGGAAGACATAAACAAACCCTTAAAATGTCAGTGGTAAGTCCCTGTTTACGCCTTGGTGAGAATCTTCTCGACAGCCTCCTTTTCAAAATAGTCCTTTTGTCTCCCTACACTTTCCCACCTCCTTGCAATGCCTAGTCTACAGAGAGAAAAAGCTAATGCAGGGTTCTTTCAACGGATGTGTATTTTCCCCATGTAGCCTGAAGAATTGGTGGATTTTGAAACACCAAACAAGGCACAACATTCGGCTTCCAGATATCAGTCAGCCAGCAATGGCCTGGGTATAAAAGTCTCTAGTTCAGATAACCGTGTTATTATGCAACGACCTTTGCCAAAACAAAGCAACAACACGGATACATCGCATCATTATTCCATCTACCGAAACCGTCAATGGTCTGGTCAGGATTCTACTGTGGTTGGCTTTGAGAGTCCACGCAGACAACTCAACCAGCATCCAGTAATGATGGAAGAATTTCACTATGCTGGACGAGCTGTTGATATGATCCTTGTTGACACCAAAATTGATGGTTCTCCACGCCTCAGAAGTGTCTATCCCGGAAAACTTGCTCAACTGGCCTATTACGGAGCTCTCTTTGATTGGTGCTACTTTGCTCGTCAGGGTCATGTCCACTGCTCTGTTAAGCCTGGTAAGCCTGTTTTATAACAACACAAATCACTTAAAAATGTCGCTTGGAGAAATCAAAAGTAGCTACAGGTTAATAAATCCACTGCAGTCTATTGCACAACCGACCAAATCACTTCTGGTATAAGAGAAACAATTCACATTTTAATCTAGGAATCGAGGCACCTACAGACAGGACTGTTGACTTGAGAAGTGCCGCAAATTTACGCGTGGTAAATAGTCGAAAGCCGGCCCAACGTTTCGGGGTACTGACTCATACAAGTTTTATAACTGCTGCAGTACGGCCTTCAATCCAACGCCTCTCGACATGGGTGGCCTTATACATTAATTTTACGCTTAGATTGCGACGTCTGACGGTTGTACGCACTACGACGGACAAAGAAAGGGCAAAATCCTCCATGCCCCATATGATAAACTCAAAACTCTAGTGATTTACTAAATTACCTTAGAACTGGCTTACAGCTCTAAATTTAACTTCATGACGTAATTAAAGAGAAACAGTGAACAAAGCTATAGTATGGTAAAACAAATAAACCGCTTAAAAAAGGTTTCCCTCATAACGTTTTATCCATTGCATTATTGATTCTTAAAATAATAAACCGCTTCTGGAATTATAAATAACACTACAAGATATCTTGGTTTTTAAAAGAGTTTTATTGCTCAAACATCGAACTTCATTAGCCTTTTCAATTACTTTTAAGAATGTTCTCTTTTTTGTTGGACGATTGTGACTGCAGTAGTTTGGCTCTTTAAGAAGTGACATATCAAATGAGGCCCTATTCGCCAAGATGTCTGCAATTCTATCCTCCTGTGTCTTTCAATCGCCCCAAAAGTAGTTGGTCGAGTCACTAATGTCGGCGACCCAAGCACAACTGTTGCATTCGCCTGTGCAGGTCTTCCTTGCGTGCCCGTACCTGACGAGGACCACACGCGTTGCAGCAATGTTCATTCTGGCAGAGATGATCAGTTTTGTTTATGACGGTTATTTTAAGGGAAATGAGGGCTGAGCCCTGTGCAAATGTGTGATTAATGTCCATGATGTCTCCACCATAGAGCATAGGAGGTGCATTTGTTTTCGTTACCCAGACCTAATAGGAAGGTATCATTGATACTAGAGCGAAAAAAAAGCATAACCAATTACTATTTTGACTAATTCTGTTTTTGCTGTTAGTGGAACGATTATTTGGTTTTGCTAAATGAGATGCTGCAATTTTGGTGGTATCAAAAATGCATTTTATGGATCAACAGCACTTCTAAACTTGGTAGCTTTGTCTTAATTAATTTTAAGGGGCTAAAATAAAACACCTGTGCAATTATCATTCGTCAAAAATTCACGCCATACGTTTATGCTTCACAACTTTGGAGTTTGAGCAATAAGGATCACATATTCCTACGAATCCATTTCTCAAAACTTTTTATAATATCAGAAAAGTTTCATGGCACCATTTACCCATTTCTGACGAGAAAGTATGGAAACTATTTTTAGATTCGATAATTACGTCTCAATGGTTTGGATGTTTTCCTGGGACTGCCAATGCAATGAGCGCAACAGGCGCACCCATTCCACTTTCAAACCTTCGTATTGGCGACCACGTGATGACGCTGGATTCCCGCACCCTTAAACTCCAACCCACTAGAGTCACTGCCTTTCTTCACCGTGATGAGCACCAATATTCACCGTGGATAGAAATCACATACCTTCGAAGGGATGAGACGACTCCATCTAAGCTGAGGGTAACCGCCAACCACCTCATTTATCGCTGGCAGGGGAGAAGAACTTCGGTTTTTGCAAATCAATTGCAACCTGGTGATAAAATTATCTGCAATATAAACCATCCTGAGGACTTGTGTCAAGTTGAAGCTACTCGATTAGTTAATGCATCACTCACTGAAACGGGTGTTTATGCGCCTCTGACAAGGACTGGTGATTTGATCATTGATGGCGTGCTAGTATCCTGTTTTGCGCATATCCGTAATGACTGGCTAGCGCAACTTGCGGTCTTTCCACTG